GCAATAAATAAATGCTGAACTCAGAGTAGGAAGGAGTGCTGTGGGTGGGGTAATCAGGGAAAGCTTCATGTAGGAAGTGACTGCGGAGCTGAGACTTGAAGGCTGAGTGCAAGATGAACCACCATGAGAGCAAAATCAAGGAAGCGCAGGATATGCAGGGTGTTAGAGGCAATAAGTAGACTATGGTTGGCCCATCTGGCAGGGAAGTATTGGAATTTGGGTTTTGAAAAATGAATTCAAGTAGATTTTATTATGCAGATATTGAAAAATATGGCAGAGATTGCAAGTTGACACAAATATGCCTTTCCCCCTTTTGTTGTGGGCACAGAACTTACTGGTTAACTGGATACATGGGTGTCAGAACAAAGAGTCTACCCCCTCCCATAGCTGTGCCATGTGAAGGAAGTGATGTGTGCTTCTGGGAACATCCCTAAAGGGGGGCACAGGCCTACTCCCCCTTCACTTTCCCTTCCCCAGCCTGCTGCCTGGAAAAAGCAAGTAGAGTGTGTCATTTGGAATGAGGTGAACGAGGAAAACTGATACTTAAAATAGATTATATATATATATCCTCCATAAATTTGATTAAAGAAATTAATTTCCCTGTGTGTGTATATATGCAAGATAGATCATTGGGAGGAGACAAGGGGGAAAGAGCAACGTATGGCTTCAAAGTTTTAGATAATTAGGACTTGTTCTGGGAAAATAGGAAGGATGAAATTAGATCAAAGAGCTGTCTTGAGGGAAAAGCAACAGACTTTGAAGACAAACCAAACCTAGAGACATTGGTTCCGGTGTAGAAGGAGCTGGCTTTTCTATGAAGGATCAGCTGAGCCTCCCCACAGGCTGATGAAGATGCCACGTCACAAAGTGGGGAGGAGCGGACGCAGAGCACTCCACCTGTTGAATATATTTCCTCAGTCTCGCTAAGACCCTTTTGTTCATGTGTAAGATGGGGTTAGTGATGCCTACAGGTTGCACAACAGTTGTAAAGAGCAGAAAAAATATGTGTAAAACACCTAGGGCCCTATGGCCAGTGCCTAGTAGGCTTACATAAATGCCTGCAATAAAGAAGGATCATAAGAACGTACTAGAATAGAAAATAGATGCACTCTCACGATGATATCAAAACTCTCCCATCCATGTCTCTACAGGGCGCTTGGATATGAGGAAATAAGAACTAAATCACAATATGATAACAGGAAGGGGAGCTGGGTGAAGCCAACAGCAGTTGACGGTGTTGTTTTAAAGGGAGGTGGCTCCCGCCCTGGCTGGTGTTGCCAAGTGGTTGCCAAAGGGTCTCGGGTTCAATTCCAGGCCAAGGGTTGCAGGTTCTCCCCGACCATCGACGTGTCTCACTCTCCCTCCCTCTCCTTCCCTCCCTTACACTCTTTACTTCCCTCCCTTACACACTTTCTAAAAAAATCAATAGAGAAAAAATATATCCTTGGGTGAAGATTAACAACAGAAAAAGGGAGGTGGCTCCTTTTGCCACAGAAGTTTCAGTGGTGCAGTCTTTTTTTTTTTTTTTTTTTTTTTTTTACCTCCGTTGACTCATCCGCAGGAGTGGGAGTTCAGACAATAGGAAGTTCTCTTGCAGCGTCCTGTTTAAGATTCTCCTCACAGAAGATCTGGTTCGCGGCCCATTTTCTGTCAGGCTTCCTGAGTTCAGAAGGGAATGCACAAAAATTCACAGGCTCCACACTGAGCTCTCTGGAGCTCCAGACTGGAAGGTTACAGCTGCCTGCAGACATCTCCATCTGCATGGCCTGCAGGCATGTCCAGCTCAGTGTGTCCAAACTACATTAATCACCCTCCCACAACACCCTTCCCACTTGTCTTTTGTCTAGGGTAATGCCATTGCCAATTTAGCAGGTATGAAATCTAGAAATGTCCGTTCTTTTACTTCTCTTGCGACATTCTCCAAGATTCACCTGCTGCCCAATGGTGGAGATTCACTCGGTGTAACCTGTTTCCTGCACTGTTTCTGACTCCCATTGTGCTGGCGAGGGTCCTTCTCTCTCTCCAGGCCACAGCAACAGCAATCTAGCCAGTCCAGCTCTGGAGTCTCTACAACCCCAGAGAGCGCCATATGAACTAGCTAAAGAATGGCCTGCCCTGGGGAGTTGTACCATGTCCACCTGTCTCCGTGCCTCCACATTCTCACTTGAACTGCCTCCCAGTTCAATTTCTGAAAGACAAATTGCTTCTCTTTCTGAAAATACTTCAGTGACTCGCCATTGAACTTATAGAATGAAGTCTAAGCACCCAAATTTCACCCATTTCCTTTCCCATGATAATCTCTTCAAGCATTCTATACTCTCACCACAGTAAACAACAGGTCCTGCCCCACAAATAACATGTGCTTTTTGAACTTCAGGGTAGTGGCCCATGGTATGTCCTCTGTGAGCCAGCTAAGCTCCCCTCCTCCTTCCTGACTCTGCCTGAAGGCCATTTCCTCCATTAACTGCCTTAATTCTCCTCTCCTCAGTCTCATCTTGCTAAGAATGGATCCACTGACTGCATGTTCTTGTACATATTGATTTTATAACTCACAGAGTTAGACGGTACACAGCATCTCTTATTGTAATGTCCGAATCTCCAGGGCACTTTGAATTGACTCTGAACCTGAGTAAAAATAATCTTCTTACATGTTACTTAAAAAAATGGTGATTTGCACAAAAGAAAGCTTTTAAAAATTCCCACAGAACCAGTTAACAATGTTGTTTACAATGGACCCAAACAGTGAACTCCCTGAGCCCTGCCATCTTAAATACACTTTGTTGTTGTTAATCCTCAGTGGAGGCTATTTTTTCATTAATTTTTAGAGAGAGTAGAAGGGAGAGGGAGAGAGAGAAATATCGATGTGAGAGAAATTTTTAGAGAGAGTGGAAGGGAGAGGAAGAGAAAGAGAGAAACATCGATGTGAGAGAGACAACATTGATTGGTTATCCCCTACACATAACCCAACCAGGGCCAGGGAACCTGCAACCAAGGTACGTGCCCTTGACCAGAATCGAACCTGCGGCCCTTCAGTCCACAGGCCGATGCTCAATCCACTGAGCCAAACCGGCTAGGGCTTAACCATACTTTTTAAAGTCCCTTCCAGTGTTATTATTCCAGGTGCACTGCTACCATAGAGGCCTTTGTAGACCTTTGCTATATGTTTCATTTGTTCCCATTAAGCAAGTACATACGAATATAAGATGGCCGAAACCGGTTTGGCTCAGTGGATAGAGCGTCGGGCTGCGGACTGAAAGGTCCCAGGTTCGATTCCGGTCAAGGGCATGTATCTAGGTTGCGGGCACATCCCCAGTGGGAGATGTGCGGGAGGCAGCTGATCGATGTTTCTCTCTCATCGATGTTTCTAACTCTATCTCTCTCCCTTCCTCTCTGTAAAAAATCAATAAAATATATTTAAAAAAATATCAGATGATTGTCTAAATTTATGTTGACTATTCTAAAGAGTACTCAATCAAGCAATATATCAAAATATCTGAAGTCTAAAGATGTAAAAATTGACTTTTATCTACAAATTTAAATGTGTTGTGTGTTGTTTTTTTACCAAGGTCAATAAAACATATGCTTGTTCTTTCTGTAATGTCAAAAGAGAAGCAGCCAAATTTGACTGCTATCCAAATAATTCAATTAACACTCAAAGCTGCTTCAGTTACTTGGGTATTTTAGGTAAAATTATGAGGATTTGGTGTGCTAAGGAAATTATAAAAAGGGCTGCTTTTGAATCTGATTAAGCAAGTTATTTACTATTTTCATTTAAATCTATGGAAGAGATGAAATCTAGCTGCTGATTTAAAATATTGTATTTCTTAGGCTACTTTTCTCTTAAAATTACTTTAAAACTTGGATATGAAAATATTGAGGATATAAATGAACATAAATGGGTACTTTTATACATTATATCAAACAGTTGCATCATCATTTAGCTCAAAATCAAACTTGAAAAGTAAATGGGCATCTTTTATCTTTTCCTAGTGAAGATACATATTCTTATAGATTAGAGTTTGAAAATCATTATTACTGTATTCAATTATTTCTTCTCACATTTTTCTCCCTTTGCTAATCTTCTTGAGTGGTAAAAGTGCTCACAATGTGTACAAATTAGACAGGCAAATTATTACTCTCTAGAAAATATTTATTGACAAGTTTTAATTTTCTTTCCATTTTCTGAGAAATAAACATAATAGATAAAATACAGTAAAATGCACTTTTCCCATTTTAAATAAATATATTTATTCTTGTAAAAAAATTTAATAATCTGTGTATTTCACCATACTTTCTTAATCAGTGAAATAAAGCAAAGAAATTCTCTGGTTAAGTTGCCACTTATCTTAATGATTCTCACAGCATTTCCCTGGAGAAAGGGAACACTATTCTCTGAAGAATTATATTCAGACTTGGATACTGTCACTTCCTGTTTGGAGAAGGCAAAGATAAGCTTCTTTAACAAGTGTTTAGTGTCAAAAAGAGTCTTAGTTTGGGAGAAAGATAGCATCCAGGTCTTTGCTAAATGAACTATGTTGTGTGTACATTTTCTTATTAATACTCCCTAGGGACCAGACTGCATTCTGAATTACAAATGACTCCTTTTGTATCACACTAGCAATTTTTCAAAATTAGTGGTTAAGTATTTAAATTAACAGTTATGTAATGTAATGTAAAAACCAAGACAGAATTTTAAAACTCTATTAACAGGGAAGGTTAAGAATAATGGTGTTATGCAGGACAAATGTATCCTTTTCACAATTGTTATTAACATTATAAGAACTGAAATCTAGTGAATTATACAGACTTAACACAGATTCTCATATACACATAGATCCCTGATCAGCTTAAGACAATGTGTTAGTTTGCTCTTGGATGTCGTTAAGAATATTTTAGTAACTAGCAAAAATCACATTTAGGTAGTCACCAATCTTCAGACTTTTCTTGTGTCTAATCTATTTTACCCACAAAAAAATATATATATCACCAAAGAATAAAAATCATTAGTATTGTTTAACTTCCTATGTTAGCAATTAACTGGCACTTTCTCTACTAGCGAGCTTACAGAAGTAAATCGAACTTGACTGTAGCTCCAATCCCATCATAGTAGGCATGCAGAAACGTTGGTCAGTCTGTACCAAAGCGTAAACCTCAAAGCCTAACTATGTTTAGTAAAAATCTGACACAAGCTATAAAGTGGATATTAGATCTGTCCTTGGCATTGTAAAGGGCAGCAACTATTGTCCAGGTGGCAACATAATATGTGGAGCTTTTCCCTCTTCATTTTAAAGAGTTCAAAATCACATGCGTAGGCATTGCTTTATGGCATTTTTATTTCTACACATTTCTGAAACAACTCTGTGCTCAAAAATTCACAAGTGAAATAAAATAACTGGGTGGCTTCCTCCTTCGACATCCTCTATAATTCCTCCATTTCAAAGTGTGTGTCGAAGCTGTTGGCCATGGAGGTGTGTTCAAACATCCTCGTCAGGCTGGGTTTCAGCAGCTCCACTGAGTGACATGACAGGTGCTGAGTCGTGTCATTCTTCAGAGACATTATTTGGTCTGTCCCAGGCTCCCTCCTATCATAATAGAGAGCCCAGAGCAAAGTGATGGTGAGAATCATGGCCAGGATTTGTGTCACTCCAATGGAGATCCCCAGAAACCGTAGCACCTGCAGTTGTTTGGTTCCTCTCAAAAAGGAGTACATTTTCTTCCCACAACCCTGTAAAAGAAATAACACAGTCAAAATTACTCTGGATGGGATACAGAGGGCTAAAATGGTGAAAACAAACAATCAGTATCAGTTAATGGGGCGAAACAACTAGATCCTAAAGTTTAAAACAGTGACTCTCAACCAGGGACACTTGTGAGAAAGCCAGAGGGGAGATAGAGATGGGGACTCTTTGAAAAGCCTGCCCAGTGATTTCTTCTGTCTTCCTCACAACCTGAAATTGAGAGCTGCTGCTAAAACACACATCTAGAGAGCAAGAGTTGGCGAACATTTTTATTTTTTTTTGGTAAAGGGCTAGATAGTAAATCTTTTATGGTTTGTAAGCCATGTGGTCTCTGTTCCAACTACTCATCTCTGCCACTGTAACACCAAAGCAGCCACAGACAATGTGAAAATGAATGGATGAGCCGTGGTCCAGATTTGGGGCACAGGCCACGGAGTGCCAACTCCTGACATAGACTGACTCAAATTTTTCAAAACTGAAGTTTCATCATCATTATTATTTGTATACACTGTTTGATTATTGTTCATTTGCTCAGAAGCTTTTCCTCAGGGATCAGCACTATTTCCCCAGTCTGCTGCTGAAGCATGCTGGTGGGTAGAAACCAATCTATTCCCTTCCCCCTACCTTCCACATGCACACACACACCTCAGTCCACTGCCTGCAGCAGAAGTATACGTGGGGGACTTCCTGACATGGCACCAAGTTCTAGTTCTACCAGGTAAGAATTTGACATCTGACTTAAAAAAATAAGCACGATTTTTGTTTGTGTTTAGTTTTAATTCAAAAGGGTAACTAACAAGTACCTATGGTAGTCAAAGGAGATAATCCAGAAAGAAGAGATGAGAAGGAATAAAAAGAGGGAAAAAATCCATGAGCAAGGAAAATGGGGGATGAGGGGCAAACAAAAGGAGGTAGACTGTGACTAACAACTGTCCTAAGTCACCTGGCAGGTGACCGAAGCAGAGTCTACCTGCCATGTCTCTAATGAATCCACAGCAAAGAAGTGAAAATTCACTCTTCCAAATGGAAGCTAATTCTAAATTAAAATAAAAATATGGAAAAGAATTTTATAACAATTAACAAATTTCAAAAACTTTAAAGATTCTGAGGTTTTACTCTACTTGGAAGCTAACAAATTAGCCTGTCGAGGTTTCATGGATGCTGGCAGAAGAACGAGAAAAAGAACTTTATCACTCACAGCAATAGCAATGGCCAGAGTATGTTCCAGTTCCTCGAGTCCCCAGAACAACATGAAGATAGTGATATGACCCCTGCACATTCAGTGGGTTGCACTATGGGACAGGAACCCCAATCTTTTGGGAACCCTAATCTTTTATAATGGGCAGGAAGAATACTTGTTCTTTGCATTGGAGAGAAACATATCATTATATTGAACAGTAAATAAACCTGCCCTTTTCTTCGGAGGGACACACTTTCTTCGTCATCAAGGCTGTTTGCTACGCACAACCAAACAAAATATAAGCAGTCAGTGACTCGGCTCTCACAAGACAAGCAAGAGACACACGGAAAATTATCTCCCAACCAAACCTTGACTTTTCAAGCTTTTACTCTATGTTTAGGGTAAAAGTGAGTCAGTGCTTACCCTATTAAGGCAGCTACTTGAATAAAAAGAAATTGGTAATTCTTTAAATAACTGCTTCCTTGTTTTTTTTCCTCTAGATTACACAAAGAAATCAACTAAAGCAAGGAAGGCAAGAGACAGTTGTTAGAATTTCTGCATTATATTGTAGGGGGGAATGAGTGATGCATCATTATTAGATTTCCAAAGACAATGATCAGTAATTGTACCCCAATAAGTCATAATTCTCAATAAATAAAAAATCATGTATAAGTAGTCATAGACACATTTCAATAACTACCTTTTTCGGGTACATAATGTAATGCAAATTAATAGCAAAGGATTATCCAAGTTTTATCAATTTAACCAAAAGTAAAATTAAAATATTTATAATTTAATATTACTTAACATCAGTATAATATCACTTCTCTGGCCATCTAACCTATTTGATAATACAAATATGCATACACACAAAGACACTCTGGAAAACCAAAATAGATCTCACAAATACAATTCACCAGTGTTCAAATATTTTTCCAAAGAGTTCCACTCAGCTTGTCTCATTCACACTTATGTTTATGTGGCATTCCAACAAGCATCCCTTTGTGACACAGGATAGAATGTTTAAGATCATGGACTGCAGAACCTAAATTCTGAATTTCAAATCCCTGCTCTGCTACTTATAAATTATGTGACTTTGGCAAGTTACTTAATCTATTCATGTTCCAGTTTTTTTCTTATCTGAAAACATACATAGTAATAGAGCCTACTGTTTGAGGCTTGGGGAGAATTAAATGAATAAATATATTTAAACACTTAGAATGGGGTTTGGTACATGGTAAAAGTGCAGTAGGTAGAAAAGATAATACTTATTTTTAAAAATCTGTCAATAAAATTAAGCAGAAATTGAGAATAAACTATTGTGTTTCATATTTTGGGCATTAAGGAACGTCTATTTCAATTTTATTTTAAACAATCATATTTATAAAAAAGGTACAGTAAATTAAATAATCTAGAATGCTTTGCAAATGTGATATATTAGTTAACACTGAATTTTCTAGAGAGGGGACCTTGGAAGTCAATGAGTTCAACTTTTTAACTTTAAAAATATGGCTAAAAAAGCACTTCTAGAATGACTCAGCATAACAGGCAGAGGAAAGAAACTCCGAATAGTCTTTCCTCTATATAAACAATAAAAGCACTAGTAAAAATTGTCAAAATAGCCCTGGCAGGTGTGGCTCAGTTCATTAGAGCATTATCCCATACATCAAAGGGTGGCAGGTTTGAATCCCCACTCGGGCCATATTCAGGAGGCAAGAAATCTCTCTCTCTCTCTCTCTGTCTCTCTGTCTCTCTCTCTCTTCCTCTTTCAAAATTAGTTGTTTTAAAAATCAGAATAAATGCTTTTATAACTCTGGAAATTCACCGAAGGCTTGCAACAATCTGAGCAGCATTTATGTAAGAAACTCACCTGATTCCAGTAAGAACAGCAAGCTTTGTGGCATCTTAATTTACCTTATTCCCATCCCGACCCTCCCCAGCTCTGCAGTAGATTTGTGGTCAGTTGCTTGGGCATCCTTCCGTGCACTGTAAGGGTGCCCATTTGATTCCGGGACGGGGCACATGCCCGGGTTGTGGGCTTGAACACTGGTGGGGATGTGCAGGAGGCAGCTGGTTAATGTTTCACTCTCACATTAATGTTTCTCCCTCTCTCACCCTCTCCTGACTTCTCTCTCTAAAAATCCATTAAAGGTGTTTCTTAAACACACACAAATTAAAAACCAGTGGCCTAGAAACCACCAGAGATAACAAAATAGGGGTGGAGCTACTTCAAAACCCCATTACCAGAGAATCGCCATTGTTTGTTCTATCTGGTGGTTCCCTGGAAGGCCTTACTTGCAAGGCTGTCCTTACAGTGGGGCCTTGACTTACGAGTTTAATTCGTTCCATGATGGAGCTTGTAACTCAAATTACTCGTATGTCAAATCAAAAAGTGAACAAGTGAGACACGTGATGCTGGGCTGATGTGGCGTTCACTGTGACTTCGCTGCACCAACTAGAGGTGGGGTAGCTGAAGCTGGCTCGTAACCCGAATTTTAGCTCGCAACTCAAAGCAAAAAATCAGCCGAGAGACGGCTCGTATCTCGAAAAACTCGTTAGTCGGGACACTCGTAAGTCAAGGCCCCACTGTATTTGCGCCTGATCAACCAGAGGTCCCTTTACCCCCATGTTTGTCAAAAGCAATCAGAGGTAACTGTTGAGCGCTGAGGCTGCATGAAGTGGTGCACGCAATGTGTGAGTCAAAAAGCTTAAAAGAAAAAGCTGGGGCAAAAAGAAGCCCATAGGGGCCTTAGCAAAACTCTGACACATTGGTGGGGATCTAGGAAGTTACACACATGAGTAGGGCTGTGCTCGTACCTAGGACTGTGCACATGCTAAGGAAGACCTAGGAAGGCACTAAGATCTCACCTCTGGCTAACCTGAGGCTTTGTGTACCCTAGCAAAGGCTGGGAGACTCACTGGTTCTAGGCATCTAAGGAAATCTCTGTTCATTCATTAACTGACCATGAAGCTAACAGAGCATAGACCAGCCATGAGCAAACTACAGCCCGCGGGCCGGATCCGGCCCCTTTGAAATGAAAAAAACTAAAAAAAAAAAAAAAGACCATTCCCTTTTATGTAATGATGTTTACTTTGAATTTATATTAGTTCACACAAACACTCCATCCATGCTTTTGTTCCAGCCCTCCGGTCCAGTTTAAGAACCCATTGTGGCCCTCGAGTCAAAAAGTTTGCCCACCCCTGGCATAGACTGTAGGGGCCACACATGACAAAGAATACAGAACTTACAAAATTAGTTCAGGAAAGTCATTAATGAACCAACAGCAATAACAATAAGCCACAAACTTTCAGGAGGAGGTAGCAAACCTGATTTACAGAGTTGCCACATTATATTATTTAAAATATCCAGTTTTCTACAACAAAAACAAATAAAAAATCACAAGAGGTGCAAAGAAACAAGAAAGTATGTCTCATACACAGACAAAGATACATCAGAGAAAATGCTTTGACGTCGAACAGACCATCCAACCTCAGAGGGAAGGCAGGGGAGTGGGGTGGGTAAGACATCAACTAAAGGACTCCTATGCATGCTATCCGCAGAACCCATGGACACAGACAGTAAGTGGGGAGGGGTGAGAGCATGTGCTGGGATGTGGGGTTGTCCGGGGAGCGGTCAATGAAGGAAAAAGGAGACATATGTAGTACTTTAAACAATAAAGAATTTAAAAAAAGGAAAATGCTTTTAATGAGAGGAACTCGGGGCCTCACTAGACAGCTCTGCCCACACTTCATAAAATAGTAGTTTTCTAAATATATATATATTGATTTTAGAGAGGCAGGGAGAGG